TCACTTAGTAACAACTTTGTAGCATTTTATGCTTACATATTCTTTTGTTCATTCTTTTAACCTTGTTCAACTATAGAACAATTTTCCATAATTTTTAGCTTCATGACTGTATTGTCTAGACTCTATTTGCTACCTCAACAATGTGTAAATCGGTTTGGCAGGCAAAATAGCATTATTTTATATAGTTTTTGATATCTACTGTAAGCATAATAATAATATCATCAAGTGAGAAAATCTTTTACCCATTTAACATTCATCTCTCCACATAATTTGTCCAACTTTTTAAAGTCATCCATATTCTTGACATCAGTGTTGTTAATAGTCTTCCAACCATTCGCTTTCCACTTTTTCACCCAGTCTGTTGCTCCTAAAAAAAAACAAAAAAACAAAGAAATCTTTAACTTAAAATCTTGACGTCATTTATAGATGATAAGTATATTGATGAATTCATCCATTACTATTAATTTTGATGTTCTGTCTGTAATATCACATTAAGCTGCCCCACGTACCATTAATGGTATACTTGCTGTCTGTACGCACTTCTACAGACTTGTAACCACGACTTTTGGCAGATTCTATAGCTCGGCAAGCTGCCTATGATTTGAAGGTATATAAAACTCTTCATGTCATGCATGGTATTTCAAGCACAAGAAAAACATGTATTTTTTCACATGTTATTGAAGTTATGCCATAAACTTACAGTTATTTCTGCTCTCTGGTTTGTTTGTGTGCCAYTTAACCTTTCACTAATATTACTGAAAAATAAACAGATTTAATGATTCAAAAMGTTTAAGCTGCAATGAGTTTCACTAATGTTTAGTACTACGCAGTAAAAAAACACATACTTATGACTATCTGGTCCCCAGTAAACACCAAYACCAGCTTTGGCTCCRTATCTACCATTTCCAGTACAACARCCATCACTATAAACAACTGGACGTTCACTCTCACTTGAAGATCCCCTACCAGTACATGTAATTGCAGAAGGGAGTTGACTAAGGTATTGYGTTTTCCTTGTTGTAYGTTTGAAGTCATTTCTTGGTCTGTAAACACCATTGTTGTAAGTTGTATACCTTGGTCTTGAATAACTTTGATGGCCCTAAAAATGCAATTACAATGAATTYACAAGAAACTCTTGGAAGAATAATTATTCAAGTTTAAAAATATAGAATAACTGCAGCAAATATGCAAATCTACCAGGCTATATAGCAGTACTGCCACACTGTAATTTCTTCACGACTCAGCTATATTTCTCAATAACCTTGRAATTCTTTATTGTCAGATTATACTGCAACAAAATTTGAAGTTTGCAGACAATTTTTGACACACTGGATATATTCACTGAGTAAAGACTTAGCTTGCTAGTATCTTATCAAGACGTTTGCATACAATTTAATGTTTCACTACACGTATACTTACAGAATAACTACTTGAATCATATGAAGAGGAATGGCCGCCTGAAAAACCAGAGTCGGAACCACCAACAAAGTTGGATGCTTCTTCATGTGAACCAAATTTTTTAAATCTTGCTCCAGAGTAGCCATTGACAGCCTGTTGACATTCTTCCCTAGATGTGAATGAAGCAAATGCTATGTACAAAATCATCTTTTTAATAATAAAATTATCAATAATAAGAATATTTAAAAAATAATATTCGTTTTAATTCATTTTCATGAGTGGTTTCTTGAATTAGTTTCTGGTTATGGTGATATCCTAGAAGACCTCGATGAGCTCGAACATTCCACATCATAATTCATCTGTGAAAATTGGTTTCTAAATATTTTCAAATACAAGCAAAAATAGGGTTGTACATAAAATTATCCAATTATTCTAAATACCCTACATTATAACTTGTGTGACAATCTTTAAATTTAACTATGTTCACTGTAAAAGCTCGACACGTTTTAACAACAAAGTTCTTAAGCTTACCAGGAATGAAATACGCCAGTAGAACGGCCTATTCTCACRGCATAGTAGCCACCCTTGCTTCTATTCTTGCCCATGACTAAATCAGGCAAGGACTTTATAAAACGACGAAGCATTCAACGACTAAAACTTCAGGACCACAAGTCAGATTATAAACGCGCGGGAAACGGCCATGTTTTTATACTGTCGTTGGTAACCAGGCCAGCTTAGCGAGAGAGGACTGGGTCGAACTGGAACAAGCGATGCGCAGTTCTGTCGCAGATACTTCCGGCCAGATTTTTTTTAAAGAAATGTATGAAATTCTAGGTGCTAGAATAACAAAAATCCTTGTTCAGAAAACTCTGTTTCAAATGTGAGAGCCTTGAAATTAAATTTTATATTTTTAAAAATCGCTTTTCGATCTCGAAAAGATCTGCAAAGTGTTCGAGTGAACAAATCCTAAAGATTTCGTAAAATTACGAAGTACGACTAAAAATAACAAAAGGACAAAAATCTACAAAAGCCAAGAAGAAAAAGAAGAAAAGGAGAAAAAACAAAAACAAATCACAACAAACACGCAAACTGACAAAACGGTCACCCATCCGAATGGATGACCGTTGCGCCCACCGACGAGGGAGGTGATTAGTCGGTTTCTAGTCCATACGTGACTAACCCCTTGTGGTTTGCATGTATTTCAACCGTGCAAAAATTGCAGTCTTTTGGCGGCTCGCGGCGGGGCTTGGTGTTGAGAGTTGAGAAGTCAGTAGCGTTCGCGCTTGCTTAAGTCATAAGTGGTTTCTAATAAAATTATGATGAAGCCTCTTTTTCAGTTTTGGTCTGTCCATATARATAATGTTATTTTGACTCGATCGCGGAACGTTTTTGTGAGTTTTTTCCTGGCRTCTGCTCAAAACTCATTTATTTTTSAAAATCTGGACGACAATTTGAGCAATGCATGAAGAARAWTWWYCMMYTKRRRAAMMARRAAWAWKKTWAAARRWTKRWKTTTTTCCGTAAACTGACGCYCTTGCAGCTTAATAGCGCCGTAGAAAATTTTAAAATTGTTGCTCGTGGCCCGAAAGGCCAGAGCTTTAGATAGCAAACGACCTTTCCGAACTACAGWAAAAGACATCGGACGCGCGAGAAAAGATCGTAGTTCTAGCGATTCGAGCATCGGTTACTTTCGACAGCATGTGATATTGGCATAACACACGGGAGGGGGAGGCCTAATGGAAATCATTTACATCAAATTTACAGGATTTTGGACACTTACATCATATTTACGTCAAATTCACAACCTTTAAAGCGCGCGATTTTTCCAGTGCAAAGAGACTATACCCTATCCTAGACAAAAAAACCACCCCCAATCCCAGACAAATGGGCAAAAAGAGATATCCCATCCCAGACTTGGAGCTCCGAAAAAGGGACCCTATCGAGCCGGGAGCATAACAGTTGGTTCATTGAGTAAGAYTTTCTGCAAGGAAAGGTCGGGTAGTCTACTGAATTATTAAGCCTGCGTTACATTTAGTCAGTGATTATAACATGGAAACGTTGATGGTTTCCCTGAAAACATACTACAAAAATATTTTATATCCGAATCCGCGATATAAACGCAAGGTTTCAGCGATCATTAAGTATAGATTGACACTTTGTCATTTTTACTTCAAAGAAAAAGATCCTGATTCTTAAGTCACTGAAATTATTACTAACCATGCACAGTGAAAGGAAAATAGAAAGGACAAAACTTTGAGCAATAACTGTACATATCATATTTTATGAACAAAATGTACAATTTTTTAAGTTCTTTTGGGGTTATTATAATATATGCCTATTATGCAATATAAGGAACACTCAACTGCTTCTTCTTTTCCTGGCAAAGAGAGAGCATTTCTACTGACAAGTATGTTGATCGCTTTCAGCCAATCGCTGCATCTTGGCATTGTCATCAACACATTATTACTTGTAAAGAGTCCTGTGTGGCTGTCACTGCCATTGACATGATCTCTAAGGAAGACAGGTAAGCGGATTTGAATTGAAAGAAATGGTCGTTTAATCTTAATTTTTCAGTCACAAAAAGCGGTATGTATCTAAGGCAAGTTTCTCAACATAACATTACTCTTTGCTAAATCATTTGTACTGGCTTATTTCGCTCAGCTATGTTTAAAGTTGATGTTTGGTTGTTTTAACGAAATTGCATAGTAATATAGCCGAGAATGTTAAGCCCCTTCTCGCTGATAAAGTTTCTTACACTCAAAACGATATACAAACTCATTTACCTTCGAGCACACAAACAAACATCCTTGTGTTATATGACAATAACATTTGACACAGAACCGTTTTATTTGAATTGACTATAAAATGTCAAGTCTTTTCTCTTTGTAGCTCAAATTATTTGATTATTTTCCCCATTTTCCTGAAATTTATTTTCTTTTATTGCTTGTKTTATCCTTTTAATGTCTTTGTTGTCACAGTCCTTGAAAATACGWTCAATTTATATTTTCTCAGTGCTGGATAAACCATTCACTCAGATCCTGACGCAACGTTTGCATGTGCCAAAAAACTCGGTCTCTTAGTTCCTTCCTTTTCAGCTTTTCTTTACGTTAATGGTTTGTTTGCTAGTGTCTTTTTTTTTTGTTCTAGTCTCGTTGAATGGTGTTTCAAATTTGTTCAGACATGCCACTTCAAATAAAGACATATGGCTTTTGTTGAGGTCTTTATTTAGGGGACAATTTTTCCCTATTCAATTCCGTGAAGAAACTCTCCAAAGTTAYAAGTGTCATGTCAGTAAGCGTCCTGATCTGTCTCCGGTAAGATACAATCATTTCGGTCAATATTTAACGTTTTATACATTTGAAAGACTACGAGTGTACATTTGAATGCTCGATGAAATTCAATACAATGCAAACCGCAAAAAAATAATTACAACTGACAATKAAAAGCAAAATATGCAAGAATATTTTTATTACCAAATTGTTGATGAATTGTTGTGAAACTAATAGCTGAATCAGTGTAAAATTTTCTCGAAGTTTTTGAATTGGCAATTGATGATATTTGATGGTAATCCGACCAGCAATTTCATAAAATGCTGTATTCGTATGGTTAGCACGGTATTCCGRGGTCTAGAAGTACTATTAAAGTCCGGTTTAACACAGTGATATTTCAGTGATCGGATAAGTTAAACTTCTTTACAAGAAATCTCGAATATAAAACAAGTGATATTTTCTTTTTTGTGACTTTTGRCAATTCTATATTTTATTCAACAAATTCACAWACATTTTMTCCCCCATGGCACAATTACCGACTGAAACTGCTTGGTGTAGCTCTCATCAATAATTCAGATATTGGACGRCYTTTGCTTATCTTTTCATGTTATATTTTGGAAGATTTAAAAMATTCTGAAGCAGCGTCGCCAACAGAAATGTATGGGTTCGTCTGGTTTAGTGACTATGTCGATGTGAATTCATCAAGCGCTAAATATAATTCTAATAAAATATAATGATATAGTGACGAATAAGCGGGACTTAAGAAAAACACAAAAGAAATCGATATTGTGCTTGTTCAGTTTCAGAACATAAAATATTGATGAAAATAATTAATGCATGAAACAAAACTTAAAAAAAATAATTTCACAATTTTAATTAATACGTCTTAATGTCGTCTCATTTTTATCACCTGCATGATGTATTATAATTTATATACTTTYGGTTCACGGTCAATTGATAATGCCATCAAGCAAAAACTGACACGTGAATATAACTTGCAATGAGAGCTCGACAAAGCATGTACGTTTTGTATTCCAGTTCAGCCAAGAATAACCTCTCTTTCCAAAGATATAAAACWTTAGGATGCTTGACTGAAATCTACCGACATAGATTCGAGGATAAGCCTATTTGTACTGGCATGGGATTTAAGAATGCTCTCGTTTTAGTGGTGCATGTACTTTGTCTATCATGTGCGTTTGATCACTCTGTTTTTGTACTCGTCTGTTAACTACCCTTCTATAAAATTGTAAGCCAATGTTGCTTGGTCGACAGGGATTATGGGTAAATTATCATGCATCACGTGATTGAGACTGAGAACCTCACATTTGTTTCAACTCCACGTTTAGTTTTGCACAAAGACAGCAACTCTTGCTATAATTCGTATTTTATAATTCTTTCAGGGTGATTATATAACGTTCTCTTACCCTGCACACGATCAACACCCTATAGCTTTTTGACGAAGTGGTCCCGATTGATGAAACATTTCAATGCATAATTCTGTTGGTCCATATAGGTATGTTCAATTTTCGCGAGACCCTATARCGACGTTACTTTTGCTTGCTGACCATAGCATTTTTGCATATATCTTGTACAGGACAAATTCTAATTATATTTAGCTTAGTTTATCTCAATGCCSGCAACTAATTTGTATTGATCACCTACCAGTCTGGATGAAGTATTTTCCTAAACAAACAAGACGCTTGTCAGCGTGCACTCGGGGTTCTTTTTAGTGTAGTCTCTTGGTTTAATGATACATATAGAATATGTAGTTTCATTTATTCTTGCCGTGACCAAAAAATATAATAAATTCTCAGTCCAGTTGATAGTATAATAATTAAGACTTATATAATTTTGACTTGATAAATTTACCGCAATTATTGCAAAGAATAATAAATACTTTAATTATCAAATATAAAGTAAAACTAAAAACCTTCCTTGGATTGAAAATAGTAAAAAAAGAAAATGTATTAATATTG